AGGTGCTCAAAGTGGCTACTATCAGTATAATTTTAATACAGTTTTTTTTCCTTTCTTAAAATGTGTATACATTTTTGTGGCACCCTCTGTATTTATTTGTATTTGTGTTTAATCTTTCAAAATTGTCAGTTCATATTTTTGCCCTTTTGGGGGTAGTTTTTCTGTATCTTGATTGGTGGAAACATTTCATGCTTTAGGATAGTGTCTCTTTGACATATTTATTGCAAATACAGGATATATTCCTCAATTTCTCATTTGTCTTTAACTTTATTTAGGGTGTCTCTTGCCCAAATTAAGTTGAACATTTTTATGAAATTTATCTTATTTTATGTCATGCTTAGAAAAAATGACTTTTCCATCTAAATGCTTTTAAATATTTGTTAGAGATGTTTTCTAATACTTTTACATTTCTTTTTTTAAATATTTTATTGGGGAATTGGGGGAGGGGAACAGCACTGGGGAATCAAGGAAGGGGAATAGACAAGTTGCTGTCCTTTGGTTCTTCAGTCTAGCTGTGGAGGACATCACTTCATTGGGCCATGTTGGTATTATCATTTCACTCTTCCCAGGTGAGGCAGTTGATCGCCAGCCATTGGAGGGCTGCTTACGACTGGCTCACATCAGCTCACGAAAGCACATGCCAACTGCCAGCCAGCCCCACTGCAGCCTATGCCATCGCCAGCGACTCATGGCAGCCTAGCTCTAGGTCAAGCTGTTGTTCACCATCTTAGCTGTAGAGGGCACAGCATCACTGGCCCGCATGTGGGATCTGAACCATGGCTCTGCTGCTGAGGGCTGGCGTCCCAAGCTGACTCTTAACCAATGCGCCACTCAGCCGGCCCTACATTTCTTTTTAAGTGAAATATTTAATATATAAGTAATTTATTTTTGACTGACTTTTGAGTTTTGTCAAATCCACTTTAACCATCATCAAATGTCTTTCTCATTTCTATTTTTAACAAATGATCCAGTTTTAGTTTTAAGGCTCAATTACCTCATCAGCTACAAAAACATTATCAACAGCAGTATTTATTAAAATGTCATAGAAGAACTTCAATTTTTAAAAAGCAGTCAAGGGGATTTCTGGTCAAGATGGCTGAGTAGGTAAATACTATACTTGCATCCTCTCAAGCCACATCAAAATTACAACTAAACTACAGACAACCATCACTGAGAATCCTCAGAAGTCTAGCTGAACAGACGTCCCACAAGTAAGGATATACAGAAAAAGCCACATCGAGACTGGCAAGAGGGGCAGAAATGCAGAATAGAGCTGGTCCCCATACCCACATGTGGTGGTTAAAAATCAGTAGAGATATTGTGGTTACAGAGGTCCCCGCTAAGGAGCAAGGGATCCCAGCCCCATACCATGCTTTACAGCCCAGGGTTCCAGTACTGGGAAAAGAAGTCCCCACAACTTCAGGCTGTAAAAATCAGTGGAGATTGTGACTGAGTGCGATGGAGGGTGACTGGAGTCCCATGTGTTCCTCTTAAAGGGCCCATGTGTAGATTTACTGCTGATAGACTCACTTGCTCTCAGCTCCAAAGCTGGGGCAGCAGCTAAAAAGGTGCTAGGACCATATGGGGAGGAACTGAATTGTCTGGCTTTAGGGCTAGGACTGGAAGTGCAGCTTTCTCTCAGACAGAAGTGCTGGGCAGAAGCCATTGTCACTTGTTTAGCCTTCCCACCTCCCAGCATAAAGACCCAGGTCACCATATCTGAGTTTCTATCAACTTGGCTAACACTGTTCTCTCCACTCTGATGATTCCCTGAGACCCCACCCCACCCAACTTGCAGACTCTCCCAAGGCACTTCCAGTGGCTTTTCCATACAAATGGCCTGTCTTGGCTCATGCTTCAGACTTTCTTAAAATCTTTCAAAGGTTCGCAAACCTCAAATTAGCAGCATCTGGCCTCAGTGTGCCCCATACCACTTGCTGAGTAGCCTCAAGACCAGCACTAGTGGCAGTAAGCCTTGTTTCAAGGCTTGGCCTCTCCCAGCCACTTCCAAGCCCAGCACAGGTGGTGGCCACATGTAGATTGCTTTGTGGCTCATTCCAGGTGGCCATGGGCTGGCACAGGCTGCAGCTGAACTTGGCATGCAGTGGGCCCCCTCCCAGGAGGCCCTGGGCTGGCACACCCAATGGTTGGTTTCAGAATGAGCCAAAGCACCACCGTACCACCTCCAAGGATAACACACCCACATCCTGCTTTGTAAGGTAAGCCCCTGCATAACTGCTCCTCCACTGTAGTCATGGCCAGTCCTCACAACCAATCAGCCTGAGAGTCGATCCCTCCCAGGGACATGAAAACAGCAACCAAGGCTCAACTAAAACATAAGGGCAAACACAACCCACACAAGGGGCATACCTGGCACACCTGACTCAGGTGACCAAGGAGACTGTGCCACAGGACACCTACTACATAAGGCCACTCTACTAAGACCAGGAGACATAGAAACCCTACGTAATATATAGAAACAAACACAGGGAGGCAGCCAAAATGGGGAGACAAAGAAGCATGTCCCAAGTGAAAGAACAGAACAAAGCTCTAGAAAAAGAACTAAACAATATATAGACAAGCAATCTANGGAGTAGCTGACTGAGCTTGTATAGATTCTCACCCCCTTTACACCCCTTTTCATGAACTTCACTGGCCTCTGTGCCAACACAGGGTAAGTTCTTTCATGATCCTCCCTCTGCTCCCATGGAGCAGGGAAGGGACTTTAGTTGTTACTGAGTAAGTCAAACGTCCTGATTTTACAGATGCAGCAACCAAGGTCTCAAAAGCAAAAATAAGAGACTTGCTCAGGATGAAATAGCAGGTGAGTAGAAGAGCTGGGGACTAGAACCCAGAGATTGGGGTTCCTCTTCCAGACACCTTTACCAATTCCCTCTATTTTAGACGAAAGCTTGTTTTTCTATTATATTGGGGGTGAGTGGGATGAGGTTCAGTGTTTGACTTACCCAGCTCAGAACCCAATCCCTACTGGGAAAGCCTTTCTTGGTCCCTAAGACAACCCTTAATGCATGAAGGACCCATTGGAACTTCAGATCAGGGAGTGATCACAGCATAATGAGGGAAGCCTGGGACTCCCATGGACCCCAAGAGTGGTGACCTAGAAGGGCATCCTCATCAATGATCACTCTTGTGATTTCATCAGCACAGATGTCTTGGATAGTCCAGGGGACAACTCCAAATTGGGACAGCTTATGTAAACTTCATCCTTTGTTGATTGAAGACTAGACCGCAGCTAGTAGGTGGGATTAGTATTCTGGCTAATGACTTACTTATTTTTAAAGGACTATTTCTTCTGATTATAAAAAATATGTGTGAAGTTTATATGAAAAGCTGTGTGTCAGTGTGTGGGTTGCTACAACTGCATGCGTCATCTAGACAAATGAAGGGGTCCCCTCTATAGCAGTAACCTTGTGCCTTTCACGCAATTCCACTTCCCCCAAGTCACATCCATTCTTCAAAGTCTAGCACAAATTCCCACTTTTCCAGAAACCCTTTCCTCACTATTTTAGTCCACAATGATGCCCTTTTTTGTCCAAAAACCTAGTTGTCAACCAGTGCATTTATTCATTTATTTATGAAATGGTACATAACTAAAAAGTTGAATCAGACATGAATTTTATCCTTCAATCAGCCTGGAGGAACTACACTAAATCATTAAGCGATTGTGCCAGAAAGTGCAGAGTGGTAAGTGCCACGTAGAATACAACTAAAGTGCAGTGGGAATGTTGAAGATGCAAATATCACTTTCAAATGAGCGCAGATCAGGGAGGTATTTCTGGAGGAAGTAGCATTTGAGCTGAGTCTTGAAGACTTGGCCAACGTGATGGCAGAAGAAGGAAATTCTACTTAGAGGAAATAGCATAAGCAAAGGTGGGGATATAGGAAGCCACAGAGTTTGCAATCTGATGACATAGGTTAAAATAAAAAGGGAAACTAGGAGGCAGCTCCTCACTGTGACCACGATCCACCCAAGGCACTCATTTGGACTCCAGCTTCTGCAGCCTGCAAGGCAAGACTTTGGGATCTACGAGGGCACAGCTACAGCAAGTTTGAGAGTGGGTCTTTGAGTCTTAAGAGTGAGTCAGAACAGATTGAGAGAAATTACAGGAGAAGGACTTTATGGCTTTACAATCTTCGAGACACCTTGGGTTTCCTAACATGGGGTCTGTATAAAGATTCAGAACTGGGGCTCTGGAGTCAGGCTACCTGGGTTAAAATCCTGTCTCTGCAACTTGCTTTTTGTGAGCCATGTTCTCTTCATAAAACAAGAATTAAAAATGGTATCCATGTCATAGAGAGGTTTTGAGGAATAGATGAGTTAATACACATAAAGAACTTAGAACTGTACACAGTGCCGTGCCTAGCCCCGAGTAAGTCTCCTTGTAACTGTTAGCTGTGATTATTATCAGGAAATGTCCCCAGAAAACTGTCAGTATGGAAGATATGGGGGCAGCCTGAACAGTAGAAATCACAGGGGAAGGAATTTCTGGTTTCTTTTTTGTTCAGTTAGTTTATTGTGATGTTGGATTTAGTATGTATGACAAGAACATGCACAGGAGGTGGTACTTCACAAAATACTTTAAAAATCATCTGTATTCGTTTATACAGATTAAAAAGCAGAGAAAAGTAGAAGGAAAATAATAAAAACCACCCAGATTATTACTTAAACCACTGATAGTTTGGTATTTCCTTCTAGCCTTGTTTCTGTGTGTGTGAGTGTGTGTGTGTGTGTGTCTGTGTGTGTGAATATTGAAATAATATTTCATTGTGTAGTTTTGCATCCTGCTTTAGTCGTTTTACCTCATAAGAATTTCTGTTTTTTAATTTTAATTTGAATGTATTTTGTATTATGTTTTCCACTAATATATGCTGATGGTACATGATTATAAGGAATATGTGGAAATTTGTATATTTGTTTTTTATCTTGCCACTTAAAAAAATAGTTCTCCATTTATTTTTTCTTATAGACAATCAAAAATTTTTTTTCTCTACCTATCCAACATATAAATTTGATTTTTCTATTTCTTGACATTAATTTTGCTAATGATTCTAGGACAGTGATAAAAAAATAGATGTAATGGTGGAGATTCTTCTCTTGTTCCTTTTTTCATGGAATAACTTGTTATTCTCCATTAGGAAGGATCCTGTAGTATCCTCCCATTCCTAGATAACTGCAAAGGGGTGTTTTTCCTTTTAAATCAAGACTAGATATTGACCTGTAAGAAGTACCTTTTAGCCGGCCGAGTGGCGCATTGGTTAAGAGCTGGCTTGGGATGCCAGAGGGCCCTGGTTCGGATCCCACATATGAGGGCCAGTGACACTGCCCTCCACAG